TTGCCTTTCACCTTGACCAGAACCCTCTCACCTTGCAAATCAAGGCAAACCTTGACCAGTTGGCAACCCTACTTACTAGTGGTGTAGTCAATATTGATGGTAACATCCATTCCCTTGTAGAACGTGCAAGGATTAGTTGTGCAACCAGTGATTTCAACGTTGGTTATCTTAGAATGTCCTATTAAATGAGCAAGCTGGTTAATTATTATAATAAAATGAACATGTTATATATTAAAATTACCGCAATTATTGAAGGGAAGGCCGGCTGAAGCGGCGACAATCAAAACGGCTTAACACACAAATTTCAACATGGTTATTTTTCACTAAAATTATTTCTAATTTTATTTAATATAATATTTTTAGAGCGATTTTCAATATTAATTGCAGCGATATTTATACAATATAATTATGTAAAATTTACCATAGGTTAAATGAATTCATCATAGGATTTAGATACAATCTAAAATATCCCTAATTGTTATCTCATATAATATTAAAATTATTTTTTAAAATTGTTTAGTTATATCCTGTTTTAGGTCAATATTAATTAGAAATATAACCATATTTTTAACAGCACACATTTATTTGTTTATATACTAAAAATATTTTACAAGGGAAATTTATATTACGGTACATAATTTTTACTTTTATGCGCAAACAAAATATTTTTATATACAGCAATTTGAGTGAATGTACTTTGTTATTTTAGTAACAACAGATTTTAATGAACTCGTTATATTAAAATCACTTTAAACAAAATAAGTAATTTTGAAATAAATTAATACTATAATATTTTATTAGAAATTAGTAAACACATTTCTTATTCCATGAACCCTGTACAATTATAATTTTGTTTTAATTTTAATTAATTTTACATTTATTGTTAACTAAAGATGAATGTTAATTATATTTCAATTTTTAAACATTATATAAATATAAAAGTTAAAATAACAAAAGTATTCATAATGCACCCATAGTAAATACACACATGAAAAAATTTAGTAAGTTAAATTTTTTATTTACCAGTCGATCGACCATAAATAATTCAATTACCTTGTGCAAACAATTTTTAACCACAATTCAGTATGAATAATGTGGTTTATAGGATCGTTCAGCAAACCCCTCCCCGATCACTCTATAGGATTTAACATGGGACTACAGTTTAAGTCTATAGCTATACTTTAACATGTGTAATGCTAATCCTATGGAGTTTTTTCCATAGACTTAACATGGGCTAATGTTATATTGTGGGTAATGTTAATCCTGTGGGAGATAATTTCCTATGGGAAAGCGAAATATAAGGGAAAAGGGTAGTTTTTCTCCGTGTTAATCCTATAAGACTAATGTTAAGTTTATTGGAGAATGCTTTAACATGGGTTCCTAAGGAATTACAGCTTAAGTCTATGACAGGTTTAACATGGGTAATGATAAGTCTATGGATACTGTTAAATCTATGAGACTAATGCCAATAGGATAACTACTTTTAAGTGTATGGGACTAATGCTTATCCTATTAATAATGTTCACCGCATGTACAGTAACTAATGCTAGTCATATGGACAATACTAGTCTAAACTAGTCTAATGCATCACCCGAATTGTGGTTAACGTATAGCATCCCTGTGTAATCCTTGTTTCGATATAGTACGTAATTAGCGTTGCCAAATAATATTTTGAAGATCCTGTATACATATGAGAAAATTGCTAAAATTTTCTGTATTTTCCTGTATTACAGCTTATTTTTGAAATATTTATTCATGTATTTCATGTACAGAAAAATTTCCTTCTATATTCTGTGAAAATTCCTGCTACGCTATATGCAATATATATTTGTTTAGCGGCCACTGAATACCTGAAATGCTATTTAAGCTCCATATAGTAACTTTCTATACAGTGCTAGCCATCGCGGGTCTTAAGCTCCGCCCATAAATATAACTTTAAACATGCTCTGTTTTGAGTTCGCTTTGAGTGTCACAATGCAAAAGCGCGAGTCTACTTTGCTGTGATTGGTTATATTTATGGGCGGAGCTTAAGACCCCCGATGGCTAGCACTGTACAGTGAATATTTAATATAGTGGCCGAAATTTTGCTATTTTTGGTTATATTTGACTATTTTTACGCTCTTTATAGTGTTTTATGGTATGAGACAAATAATTTTAGTCTTGCAATGATTTAAAATGAGAAAGATTTATTTAAATTGATAAATAAATATAAAATTTCTATCTCAGAAACATTAAACAATTGAAATAAATGATTATTTTGTTTTAACAGTATATACACTAATTTACCCACTATTCCACATGCATTCTATATAGAGCTTATTTGATATAGTGTCCTAAAAAACTTCTATAACTGCTCAAACACTAGTTTTCACTGTATTTATTCCTAGTTTTAAATAAGAATTCATTTTAAATACGTTTCATAATTTATTACAATATTTCAATAACTTTTAATTAGACAAACATTTATATTTGTAATGAATGCGGTTGTATGAATCTTGTGGGTTGACTCGGGTGGGTGTCTAACTCTATCGGGTCCAACCCCGGGGCCAGTACTGACCACAACAATGCCAACGCCTTCGAAATCAACGCTGGGATCGATACGTCTGGCGGAGTCTACCGACTAGATATGTTAGCGGTGGTCACAGGAGAATACAGTTGCCTGTTTTGAACAATAAAACTAAAATCACAAATAATTCACAATTGGTACTTCTAAATAGCCTAGACACCTTTTGTGCTACTAGCAAATCTATAAAATTACAAATAATTTACAATTGGTATGCTTAAAAAGCCCAGACACCTTTTGTGCCACTAGTAAATCTATTAAATTACAAATAATTTACAACTGGTATGCTTAAAAAGCCCAGACACCTTTTGTGCCACTAGTAAATCTATTAAATTACAAATAATCTCCAATTGGTACTCCTAAAAAGCCCAGACACCTTTTGTTCCACTAATAAATCTATTAAATTACAAATAATTTACAATTGGTATGCTTAAAAAGCCCACACAGTTTTGTGAGGCCAATAAAACTATTAAATCACAATTAATTTACAATTGGTATGCTTAAAAAGCCCAGACACCTTTTGTGCCACTAGTAAATCTATTAAATTACAAATAATTTACAACTGGTATGCTTAAAAAGCCCAGACACCTTTTGTGCAACTAGTAAATCTATAAAATTACAAATAATCTTCAATTGGTACTCCTAAAAAGCCCAGACACCTTTTGTTCCACTAATAAATCTATTAAATTACAAATAATTTACAATTGGTATGCTTAAAAAGCCCAGACAGTTTTGTGAGGCCAATAAAACTATTAAATCACAATTAATTTACAATTGGTATGCTTAAAAAGCCCAGACACCTTTTGTGCCACTAGTAAATCTATTAAATTACAAATAATTTACAACTGGTATGCTTAAAAAGCCCAGACACCTTTTGTTCCACTAATAAATCTATTAAATTACAAATAATTTACAATTGGTATGCTTAAAAAGCCCAGACACCTTTGTGAGGCCAATAATACTATTAAATCACAATTTATTTACAATTGGTATTCCTAAATAGCCCAGACACCTTTTTTGCGACCGGTAAATCTATAAATTTATAAATATAAAAATAAATCTACAGTGTAGACCCATCACATTGCTAATTCAAATTTTTTAAACAAATATTTTATATTTTATTAAATATTTTTAAAAATTTTAAACTTCAAAACTGAACAGTTCCACATCCAGTTTTATTCAAGCATTCGTCACTGCGACAAAAACCACTAAAATTTAATAATTTAAATTTATTAAATTAAATTAAAAATTGATATGCGACACTTCCATTGAACTCCAATTATCTAATTATAAACGGAACTAATGTATATTATAGCAATTAATAAATATATTATTACAGTTACAACAAATATTAATTGTACAGTATTATAATATAATATGTCAACAACTAAACCAGGACACTGTTTTTAATTAATTTATACCATTTTAATTAAATATTTGATAAAAAAACGTTCTATTTTAAACAAATAAATAGTATAGTGGTCAATTAATTTAATCCTTAATGACTCCGTAAAGAGTTGTACAGAACAGGTCTCCCTTATCACCAATAAGTCTGAGTTTAGCTTCAGCCTCGATGGTAGGGGCGGCCATAGGAATGGTCAGATTGTATGAGAATTGTTTCTTTCCACCCTTTTTGATGGGACAGTGAGTGTCGTGACAACCATCGGAGTCAAAGCCAGGGATCAATGTAGACAAGTCCAGATCCAAACCACCAACAATGGCGTGAAAACTAAACTCTGACTTTGTGCTATTTTGGTCTATTTAACAAGGTGAGTATTAATTATACTGTAAGTTAAATTTTATAAATTAAATTATAAAGTTTTATAAGTGTAATTTAAAAAGTTAGCTTAAATTAAATATCCTGCGTTTAATTTATAGCAGCACTTACTGGCGATATAGTCAATATCAATGGTAACCTCTTTTCCCTTATGAAAAGTGCAGGGTATGGTTGTGCAGCCGGTGATGTCAATGTTGGTTATCTCAGCGTGTCCTAAAAAATAAAACACCAAGGTTAGTTATACAGTATAACTTATTAAGTTATACTATTAAAAGCATTTTATACTACTATATTAAACTTACCACAATCTATGGGAGGCGGCCAGGCTGAGACAGCGGTAATTAACAGCACAAAACAACCAATCTTAAACATTGTTATTTTTACTTAAATTAATTTAAATTATAAATTTTTAAATTGATTTCCAATACTAATTGTTTTTATATTTATACAAATAATTATGTGTATTATACCATGTGTTTAATAATTTTTTACCACAATTACGTTATATTAAGGATATCCCTGATTATTATCTAATAGTATTTTATTAGAGGGAATTATCAATTAAGCTTATATTTATAATTTTGCATAATTCACAATAGATTAGAATTTTACATTTCGTTTTGCAAATTTTATATCGATTTCTTAAATAATAAGATTTTTAATATTTTTACGTAAATAAATTTTAGATTAAATTATAGAGAATGACTAATCTGTTCGAGGCACGGTGCCTTGCTAGAAAGTGCCTCACTAGGTATTTTCCACTAATTTGTAAATATTTAAATTTTTAAATATACACATTTATTTAATTTTGTAATGATACAATTATAATTGTTATTAAAAATGTAAAATAAAAATATTTAAAAATTTTTATTAAATTAAAAATTTTGATTTAAATTTTTTTAATACAAATATAATTGTATCATTACAAAAGCAAATTAATGTGTATATATATAAATGTAAATATTTACAAATTAGTGGAAAATGCCTAGCGAGGCACTTTCTAGCGAGGCACTGTGCCTCGAACAGATTAGTCATTCTCTAAATTATATTTGATAATGTACCTATAAATATATTATTTTAAATAATATAAATTATAGCTAATATAAAACTAATCAAAAATAGTAAAAACTTAAAACGGTATACATTTGCTCTTTCCGATAACATATAGAAAACTAAAATTAAACTATATAGAAAATAAAAAGTTATTAAAATAACAGTATTTAAAAAATTTATGTATATTTTATATAAAATTTTGATTACAATATACCTAATTTTAATTTTTTTGCTTGATACTTAACATCAGATTTAATGTCCAATTTAATTATAGTTATCATAATTAAGATCTGATTTTCCCAATTTGAAACAAATATACATCGTTATCCTTTGATAGATTATTAAATATTAATTTTATTTCCATAAATTAAAATAATTAGCATGAATATGTAACACGAATAATCTACATGAATTCTAATAAGTACACCGAAAAAGTAAAATATTGTAAATAATGGAAATTGTATGTAAATTGTTTAATTATTTTAAATTAAACAAAAGTTTTTAATATATCTTTTCATAAAAATAAATTACATTTAATAGAAAATGAAATGATTTGTGTAATTGTAAACAAGATATGGCACAGACGGTTGCCCTAACACTGGGAGCACTATTTGCGGGTAATAGTGGACATTGAGGACAATCCTCATGTGTCTGGTTTGTACTACACGTTTAAAAAAATGTTTTTAAAAAAATAAAATTACTTATGTTAACAACTGTAAAGTATTCTAAACTAACATAAACTAATTATCTAATGCAAAATTATATATAAATTATTGGGATACCCAATTTGATACTGTATTTATTATATTGATTAATTTATAACTTTTATTTGACAACATGATCCACGTTTAGCTATATCAATAAAAATATAATTTAATAATAAAAATACACGATCTATATTTTATAATAAAAGTTTTTATAAATGGGAAATTAGTGAGACCAACTTATTTTACCAACAGTAATTATTGTAAACTCTTTGTGGTCTTAAATAAAATAATAAATTGTATCCATTATTTCATAATCCTTATTAGAATATATTTAATTATAACAATAAAAATATACGTATAGTAGTACAATGCACGGAAAATTATGGTATCAATAATAATTTTCAAATAGCTTAAAAATCGTAAGAAACCCAAAAATATTTAATAAAAATATTAACTAGTAAAGTTAAATATAAATGTGTACTTTATTACAGTCTATTGAACAAAATAAGACATTTTTGCAAATATTAAAAACGGTATATTGAATACATACACAAGTTAAATTAAATAATTGTCATTAAATAATCTAATCAGTGATGTCACCATGGACGGTTCCGCAGAACAGATCTCCCTTATCGCCGATGAGTCTGGCCTTAACAGCACCCTCGACGGTAGGGGTGTCGTCGGGAATAGTTAACTTGTATGAAAACTCCTTCTTATCGCCCTTTTTGACGGGACAGGGCGTGTATTTGCAACCATCTATGTCAAAGTCAGGGATCACAGTAGCTAGGTCCAAGTCCAAATCTCCCAAAATTGCGTGCAGAGACCACTCAGCCTTATCGCTGTCGGCATCTATTTAGATAGGTAAATATTAGTATATATAAATATTTTATAATAAAAGTATAATAATGTAACAATATAAAATAGACTGAATTTGTAAGAATGTTGGTACTTACTGGCGATGTAGTTAGCGTGACCAACCGTCCTCTATTTCAGAGGACAATCCTCTATTTAGGGTATTTGTCCACTGTCCTCTGAAGAGGTTAAAGAGGACTATTGAACGTCCTCTATTTT